AAAGCTATTTTGTCAACAAGTTAGTGTCATAAGATAACTATTGCTGGGGGGAGTTGTGTTCTAAAATAGACTAGTCTAGAGAGTATGAAAATTTGCCCCACAAAAGCATGTGGGTCAGTTTCACTTCCAAGAGCTAAATTAGTTTCTTGTGGAGGCTAGAGAAAGGCCAAGTTAGTTTCCGAACTACATAGAAAACTGCTAATGAACAGGTCCCACGTATTTCTTCCAAATTCTGATTCTGATAGCCTCGGGTTGACGTCTAACACACATCTTAGCTCATAAGGTGTAAATGTTAAATAAGATTATTATTATTATTGTTTAGAACAGAACTGGACTAAACCTCCTTGGAAACAAGCAAAATGTAGATGGAGAAATGAAAACGTCTCCCAGGACCTGGGAAAACAAAAACACAGTGTGTTATTTTTTTAAGCTCTTGTAAAATATTTGTGATTGGATACCAAAGCTGCTATATTTAGCAACTTCATACTGATGTTGTTTTCTTCTCTATTAATTTCACTGACTTCTACCACCCATCTGCCGTTATGGTTTGTGCTATCACACAACATAGAGGACTTTGCTGTTTTGTCCTTGATGAGTGTAAACACACTGTGCTTTAACAAATACTAAAATTACAACGAATTTGTGTGAGGAGTGAGGAGACCCTAGCAACAGCAAGAGACTGAAGAAAGTGTGAAAGTGGGAGGGAGGGGGGAAAGATGCAGAACATCAATAAATAATGGCCCTACTGAGGGGGTGGAAATATGGGCCTCGTTATCTTTGCACTGACGCCTTCATTTGCATTTGAGAAAATGAGGCTGCTACTAACTCTCTCTTTCACACACACACACACACACACACATATGGTGCACTCACAAACACATTTGCTCTCTTGGACCCACACAGGCTACAGTATATATCCTATTTATAGACTCTGTCATGCTTTTATTTTTTTCTATGCATGTTTATATTTCCATTAGTTTCCATTTCTTTCCTCCTATTTAGAATGTGTCATTGTGGCAGGTCTGGCCTGTTGTGTGACTGCAAGGCTACAGATATTTAGTCAGATTTAAAAAATAAAACTAAACCTTTGGTTTGCTAAGGACATAAAATAAAATTATTTTGAACACTGTGTCTTTCTGACATTAGAGAGCAAACAGCTGGAGTACACACACTACTCATTTTTTTTTAATGCTGGTGCTTTATTTTTACAGTCTATTGTGTGAATTAAGGTCCAAGTGTATTTATAGTAAAAACAAGCTGCAGTAAGAAATACTTTATAATACTAGTTGCTAACTAAAAAATGTAAGTGTAACTCTAAAATAACATTAGCATGTTTGGAAAAAAGGTACTATATCCATCCATTATTGTTTATTTTGAAGAGGGTTGCAGGGAGCTGGAGCCAATCCCAGCTGACACTGGGCCACATTAAAAAACATACTAAGAAATAGGTACTTTGTACAAAGACTATTGCTTTATCTACATCTGATGTAAAAAGTTGCCTTCCTTTTCTTAACAAGATGAGGCATGATATTCTTATCAGTGCACAAACTAGACTGATTAGTTTCAGTTTTTCATACCATTTAATTATTTTCCTATGAAAAACACAGCAATGTCCTGATCCAGCAGTTACAAATAGGGATAGAAACAGGACCCCATCTGCATCCAGGAGTCCTGGACATTTTTGCATAATTGTCTGCATGCATCTCATTGAGTCACTGACCACACTCATAAGATTACAGTTTACAGTTTATATAGTTTTAAGCATAAACTTTATTGCCAAGTATTAAAAAAAATACAAGGAACTTGACTCACGCTCAACAATGTCAAGATGCAACAATGTCACCATCCTCTAGAGAATGCAATTTGTTTCAAAGGACTTTCCATCTGGGTGGAACTCTTTAAAGCACCATTTATAGTTTATAAAAATATTCTAACCTCTAAACACATTCTGCAGAGGCTTTTTTAGGATCCATAACTGTTTCCTTTTTTTTCTTTTTTGGTTTCATCAGTGTAATTCAAAAACAAGTTTGCATGATCGCTGTGGTAGCTATTAAAGGAACATAGGTCAACACACAATGAAAGGATGCTCTTGGTTCAAGCATAGGTGCATTTCCAACTAGGGTTGTTCTCTGTGCAGCTTGTGTGTTCACATCTTTCCTCCAAACAAATGAAAAAAAAGACATGCAGGTTTGAGCCATATTCCCAGATGCTAAATATGGATGAGTTAAAGCAGAGGACAGGTTCCTGTAAAGATGTCATACCCCTAGAGAAAGACTCTAACACTATAGTATCATATGAAAGTGGCACAATTGAAAAAGAATTATGCAACACCAACTGCTACATCCTTTTGCTATGCATGTCTGCTGCAGCTGTGTCTGTATGTGTCTGTGTGTGTATGTGATGTTTCTCATTATCTAGTCAAGTCAGCATGAATAAAAGCTGAGGGAGCACAGTGATTTAGTAATTAATATTTTACTCTGTCTGCTACTTTGCTTAGAGACTGAGAGAGGAAAAAGGTGAGACAGACACTAAGGTTCACACAAAGAGATAAAGAGAATCGAGTTTGATTTCATGAGCAAACCACTAAATTAAACTGGACAGATAGTGAAAGGAATAATCTGGTGTACACTGTGTAATCAGTGTTATTGCAGAAGCTGCTGATGGGAAGAATCCAGTCCACTACTGAAAACAGAAAGTATGGCTTTGATGGATCCAGCTGACTCTCTCTCTCTCTCTTTCTCTCTCTCTCTCTTGCTCCCTGCCTGTGTCAGAGTGTTGTGACAGGCGAGTTGTCGGTGTTGTGGGAGTAGCTGTCTTAAAGTGTTCATTATCCTGTAAGGCTTCATTCTAGGGGGCAAACAAAGGCTGCTGTGAAATTGCAGCCTGTGCCTCCTCTCGGGTCATATAGTATAATCCACGCAAACACATGCACAGACCATAACTGCTACCTTCGGTGTACGTGCTTAACCCTTTGCAAGAGCCCAACAAACACAGAGCTTACTGACTGATGCTGATAAATACACAGGTGAATGTGAACGCAGCACATCCAGTTGTTGGAGACAGTTGATAATCACTGCTGACAAATCTAAACTAACCTCATTCTATAGTGGTAACCACTTTGAAACTATTAAAAATGTATCAGACTTGAGCTGGGAAACTGTTGCTACATGTTTAAAGAACCCAGAAAATACTTGTACCCTTGTAAAATGTTAGTTCTTTAAAATGATGAACTTCCTTTTAACATGGGCTGCTCTTAAAGTGCCTTAGAGTTTGTGTTACTTATTTATCTACTATATATTTCATTTGTATTTTGTGACATTCATGTGGACGGCAAAGTAAAAATTTCATTGTACAGGGAAACACGTTTCCTAACTGTGCATATGACAAATAAACACTTTGACCTTCAGCTAGGGCAGGACACCAATAAGGAATCAATCTGGTCTTTAATTTATTGGCTAAAATTTTTATTTGCATCCACTAGCATGAGGTCACCAATGAAGATACACAGTTTTTCAGATAGCAGCTACTTTCCAGGACATCGGGGTGTTTAGACTTTCCTCAGATTGTCTAGATGACTAAGTTAGAGCTTGAGGTCCAGCCAACAAATGCTTGCATTGACCTTAAAATGTAAATGTAATAAATAATATACAGGTTCACTTTAAGGTTTTCACTGGTTGTTTGATTGCTGTTATAAGGTTCACTAGCTCTGTCCATGGTGTATATGACCGCTGTGTGTCCTCCAGGCCTTGAATGAGTGCCAGGTTTTGGAAGGCAGGTAGTACCAACTGTTCAGGCAGCTGGTTTTTTTCTTAGCACAATATGGTTTTGTGATGAGGACAATTGATTTTGACTAGAATGATCATCTTAGTACAATTGTCTTAACTGGATATTTCTGTTTAACAGAAGTTTTCTTTTGGGAACAATGTTAGTAAGGGCATACACAGACATTTTAGGGGTTGCCCCTCCTTCCAACAAATGGAGATAATGTAATTATCTGAAGTTTTGGAGCTGGACCTGACCTGAACTTTACCTCAATGAAACCACCATACTTCTGCTTTCACTTTTCTTTAACCCCCCCACCCTTTTTTTATTCTAACCTTTTTCCCTCTGTTCGTCTATCCCTGCTGGGGGTCTGCCAGTGACCAAGAGCAGCGTGGGCCTCCTTATCCTGCCCCCAAACTGTCACGTACACAAGTAACCAAGTATGCACAAGCATTCCAATGTCTTTACTTCCATTCACATTTAATGTGGGCAGGTCCCTGCTAGTGAATTATATATTTCAAAAAAGTTACCTGCAGTAGCACATCTCTGCATTAGCACTGAAATTATAAGCCTATATATGGTTTGAGGCAAAATATTAATGACAGTAAGATCAGATGAATTGTTAAACTTTCAAATGTGAGTTTTTAATTGCCTAGATTGTTGTAGTGAAATGACAGTTGGCTTGCCAGCAACTACCAGTAGATTTTGGTCATTCCTTGTTGATGCAGGCCTATGAGCATTAGCCTAACGCACTTTTAATAATCATTCAGAGCCTAATAGTTATAGCACACTTTTACTAAACTATTATGCAAAGATCCACAATGAAAATTGTTTAAAAACTAATATATAAAACTAAAAATAGTTTTAAAAACTGTCCTTCAAAAGGGCACTTATCAAGTCAGAGAGTAAAAGTGCAAGTGCATGAGCACCACACCACCACTCTTTCTCTGCACATGCTAGAATTTTAGGCTTTACTGACCTTATTGTGTTTTCCTCAGGTAATAGGTTTTCACTGACCTCCTTTGGGGCTCTTTACATCTCTGATGTTCAGAAGGAGGACGCCCTGTCCACATACCGGTGCATCACCAAACATAAGTACAGTGGCGAGACACGGCAAAGTAATGGTGCCAGGCTCTCCGTAATGGGTGAGAAGCTTTCTGTTTTCAGTTTGCTCATGCTAATCTGGTATCTGTCTTTGTCTTGACAGCAATTATAATCCTATCTCTGTCCTCTAGACCCCAATGAGTCCTCACCCACTATCCTGGACAGTTTCCAAGCATGGGAGGTGTATGCAGGCCAGAGCATCGAGCTCCCCTGTATAGCGGGAGGTTACCCCAGCCCCACCGTGCGCTGGCTGAAAGATGGTCGCTCACTGCCCTCGGATGCCCGCTGGACACGACGTTTGACAGGTCTGACCATCAGTGACCTGAGGCAGGAGGACAGTGGCAGCTATGCCTGCGAGGTCACCAACAGTTTTGGCTCAAAAGAGGTGTCTGGACAGCTTCATGTTATAGGTGTGTGAGCACTACTACACAGTCACACACACACAATCTGACAGACTCCCATGCTGTCTTCTCAGTAACCAGCCAGGCAGACAGACACATTCACAAACCCCTTTTTTTGTTGTTGTTTTTTGTTTGAGGCACACATATAAGTTGCACACTGAGTGTGTCTCTAACAAACATGTGTGTGGCCCGTCATGTCAGATCTCAAAAAGAGAGATGGGGCAGTAATTCACTGAGACTGAATCAGTAACACAGCTGCTGGCACCATTCACCATCAAGGAGAAGGAAGGTGAGGAAGATGGAGATAAAGACAAGGGATGGGTCACAGAAGAAGTGGTCAGACATCCAGACAGTGTTGGAATGACATTACCTTCACTAAGTAACTACAAGATAATAAGAGAGGTGGAAAGTACACAACGAAACAAAGAGTGGGAGGAGGCAAGACAGGAGGAGACTAGAGAGGCGGTAGGCTTTGCCAGTGGGCACATCATGGCAGAACACTCTGTGACTCTGACAGGGTGAGGGGGGTTTGGAGGCACAGCAATGGCCCCCAGCATTCACCACCAGCTGCCTTATTGCTCACTGACATTTGCACACACACACACATGTGCATATACACTCTTGCGCACACACACAAAAAAGTGGACAGAGATGTGAAGAGATATCTCCAGCTGCTTTTTTAATGAGTGTGTCAAACTGATTGAGTCACCATCGCTGAATGTACTCTCCCTCTTTCTCTCTCTGTGTCTATGAATGTAAATGCCTACTGTATGGATACATGCAGCATGTCATGTTTTGAACCAAGCTTTTTTTCTTTCTACAGCAGTAATACACAATTGTAATAATTCAATATTTATTTTGAAGCATAAAAAATGCAAAAGAAAATGTGCCCTCTGGAGTGTTTTCTGGTTATGTGTTAAAACAAACATGTTTCAGATATGTTTCTGACTCCATGCATCTTTCTCTCAGATCCACTGCGAGTGACCTTATCCCCTAAGAATCTGAAAACGGGCATCAGCAGCACACTGTTTTTCACCTGCACTGTGGAGGGCTCTCCAGAATACACCATCACCTGGTACAGGAACACAGAGCCCATCATCCCTGACCAGCACATCTCAATCCAGGGACAACACAATGACACCCTACAGATCACTGCAGCACAGAAGTTCCACTCTGGGGCCTACCAGTGCTTCGCCTCCCGAAAGGGCCACACCGCTCAGGACTTTTCCATTATTCTGTTAGAGGGTATGTGGACAAAGATCATCAATGAAGTGCAAGTTCCATGCAAATAGGAATGCATTTTATGATTTCATCTTAACAGCAAAATGACAGGGAACCATGAGCTTCACATTTAAAGCCTTTACTTTATGGTTGACTTTTTTCTTTATCTGAATGGTGATGCATGAATTGTTTGCCATTCCAAATGTCATAGACACATAAGTAGGATACCGCAGAGCTGTGTATCACTGAAGAAATACACAAAATCATTTGGCTATAAAAATGCAGCAGAGATGGTGACACAAAGATCTAAATCCAAGCTGTTAGACATTCTGGATTTCACAGCTTCACACCACTCTGTCTTTATGTTCTTCTGTATTATGTCTCTTTCTCACTGACTCTCTCATTCTCCTCTCAGATGGTACTCCTCGCATTGTGTCTTCCTTCAGCGAGCGGGTGGTGAATCCCGGCGAGCCTTTCTCCCTCATGTGTGCAGGCAAAGGAGCACCACCTCCCTCCATTACCTGGACACTGGATGACGAGCCCGTGGTACGAGACTCCACCTACAAGACCAGCCAGTACACCCTGTCGGACGGCCTGACTGTGTCACATGTCAATGTCAGCAGCCCGCTCATTCGAGATGGGGGAGTGTATCGTTGCATTGCACGCAACTCGGCCGGTAGCGCAGAGTACCAAGCGCGCATAAACGTAAGAGGTGCCTGTCTGCTTTTCAATATAAATGCACTCTACACCTGACTCTATACAAATACTCAGGGGCAGTGAGCATCTCTCTATATGTCTGTCTATTTATCTATGTCTATTTATTTATCTTTCTAGACAAAATATAAACAATCACCTAGATAGACAGAATATTTGATTAGGCTACAAACAACAAATATCATCAGTGATAATAAAGGGAGCATCACTAACCTCCCTCTCCACCTGTCAATTTGCCCCAATCCCCTCGACCTTGATCCTTTCACCTCCTGTCTCCATGGCTGCTCCCTTACTCTGCCATGACCTCCTTCACCTCATCTGCCCCTCTCTCCAACCTCTGTGTCTCTCTCTGTCTCCTCCCTCCATCCCCTCCCTCTATTCCCTGTGTCTCCAGGTCCACCTCGAATCAGACCCATGCGGGACATCACTGCAGTGGCTGGCAGGAATACCTACATAACGTGCCGTGTGATTGGGTACCCGTATTATTCCATCAAGTGGCTGAAGGACGGCATGCAGCTGCCTGATAATCATCGTCAAGTGGTGTTTGAGAATGGCACCCTAAGGCTGACAGACGTGCAGAAGGGCGCGGACGAGGGCACCTACTTGTGTAGCGTTCTGATCCAGCCCCAGGTGTCAATCAACCAGACTGTTCACGTCACTGTCAAAGGTATGACAAGACTGGATTGAAATAATAATGGATAATGTTTTAAGATAAATATACATCCAATTTATGAATCTAAATCATGACGTGGCACTACAATAGAGGTAGAGTGGCACATCCGCTAAATACAGTTTCACCCGATTTTCCCAGAACAAGTATTCCTACTATAATGGGCATTTCTTTGTGCATAACCAAAATACATTTCTCCTAAAATTGTAGTGAAAAACAAATGTGTACAAAAAACCTGAAATCGCCAACAGTGGTTTCTTTGTGGAATGAGGTAATCATGGTAGCAGGGCAGCTGCAGAGGTGTTTAAGGGTGTGTACATGTGCCTGCATGTGAGTGTGTCCCTGATTTAATTAGATGAATAATAATGAAGCCTAGATTAAATCCCCCAGATGTCTCAGCTGTAGTACCCCCACCCCAGCCTTCATTACTATGGCAATGGAATGACTTCCTTCTGCCAACTGGACTCTAACCAGAGCAGCTATTATGGGCTGCAGGAGATGGAGGCTGAAGGGTGGGGATAGAAGAGGGGCCCACTGGCCAATGACCTTCTATCTCTCTCAGCATTGCTCCAGATGGCCACAGTGCCGTTCTTCCGCATCTATCGCTGCCTATATGCCTCTGACTTTCTGCGCTCTCCCTCTTCCCCCTAGTGCCGCCGCTCATCCAGCCCTTTGATATCCCCTCTACCTCAGTGGGGAAGCTCATGTACATTGCCTGTGTGGTGTCATCTGGGGACATGCCCATACGCATCACCTGGCACAAAGACGGCCAGCTCATTGTGCCAGGCTCTGCCTCTGGCGTCGCAATAGAGACCAAAGAGTTCATGAGCTCCCTGCAAATCTCCAAGGTGACACTGAAGCACAATGGAAACTACACCTGCATCGCCAGCAATGCCGCCGCCACTGTCAGCTGGGAAAGACAGTTGATTGTTACTGGTGAGGGACTGAGAAAGAATGGACTGAAGGGAGAATGGCATAAAGATAATGAATTAGGTCAGATCAGATGTGCCATCTGATGTAATGAGGGAGATTAAATTTGAAGATGTTATTTTAGGAATCATCTCGTTTTCTACCTGTAAGACTGCAAGACTTTCTTTTAGTTCGTCTGCAGTATTTAGGTTAATCACCTCTTTTTGTTTCTCAGTGCCACCACGTTTTGTGGTTCAGCCAAACAACCAGGACTGTATATATGGCAAAGCTGGAGTTCTCAACTGCTCTGTGGAGGGTTATCCACCTCCAAAAGTCATGTGGAAACATGCCAAAGGTAAAATCAGCACATCATCCTTACAATATTACAATAACAACATCACCTGAACAACGAAAAAATAAGGCAGTGACATGTGTTTGCTGTGTGTTTTATGGTTTTTTTGGGAACCCTCAGCAGTATCACCCAGTCCCTCTAACTGGCCGTATCCAGGTCATGTCTAACGGCTCTCTGCTCATTCGACATGTGCTTGAGGATGACCGAGGGTACTACCTCTGTCAGGCCTCCAATGGAGTGGGCTCAGACATCAGTAAGAGCATGATCCTCACTGTCAAGAGTAAGTTTCAATTATTCTTTTTTTAAAACCACATCTCTTGATGGTACAAACTGTATACAGAGACTTAGCTTTTTAGAGGGGAATCAGTGATGCTAAGATGCACTTTTGCCCCAGGCTAATGTACTGAACCTTGTTTCTGTACTGCACATCCTTAATTGTGGGTGTGCTTGCTATTGATTGATGTGTTCCAGCTGCCGGTCTGTAGCTCCTGAATATTTGGTGGGAAGAAGGGTAAATGAATTAGTGATGACAACAACACCGCAGGAACCCTTCAATCAATAATCTACAGTATGTCTGAGGAAAGCAGATAAAAAAGAAGCAAGAACATGAAAAAAAGAAGAGAAGAAGAAGAAAGCAGATAGAGAGGAAGTAGTGTAAGAAGACCAGCGGGGTTTGAAGCGTGAAATGAAAATGGAGAATGAAGGGCAGAAATAAAGATGTCTATACATCTGTAAACTATTCTCATTTTCCAACATCACATCACCTTTCCCATTCGTCTCATTACTTCATATCATAATATGACACTGGAATGTGTCTGTGATTCTGCTTAGTTCCTGCCATGATCACCAGCCACCCCAACACCACCATGGCAAGGAAGGGCCAGACGAAGGAACTGAACTGCACAGCACGGGGGGAGCAGCCCATTATTATTCGCTGGGAGAGAGGGGACACAGTCATCGATGCTGAAAGAAACCCCCATTACTCTATAACCATTAACAAGAAAGGAGACGAAGTCATCTCCACCCTAAAGGTCAGAAACAGAGCGCAACACTGAGCAGACCCTGAATCACCGTCTGAGAAGTGCTTACCTTAATACTGCAAAGAGAAAACGGAGCAAAGAGTAATGGCATAAGGAGGGTAAAGTGCCTGTTAATTAGGTAATTTAGCCTAATGATCACTTTTTAACTTTAGATACAGATGTGAGAGTGGAATCAATCTTTTCATCTAACTCTTGGCAAAAAAGGGAATAAGTATATGTCTCAGTATGTGAAACAATTAATTTCACTGTACAGGGAAACGCATTTCCTCACTGTGCATATGACAATAAACGCTTGACAAGTGACTACATTATGACATTTTTACAAATATTTTATAAAAAAATTCCTTAAATAATCTGACTTTGTCGATTCAGGCTTTTAGGCTAATGCTAATTTAAATATATTTTTGCAGAAGATTTTTGTGCTGTGCTGCATTTCCTTTTAGGTATATTGTAACCTCATCCTTTTTGTGTTGATGATGTTCACAGCTGAACCCGGCTGAGCGAGGAGATTCTGTCTTCTTCTCCTGCCATGCCATCAACTCTTATGGAGAGGGTCGAGGGCTCATCCAACTCACTGTGCAAGGTATCTATACCCTATGCTTTACAAATCTTATATAAACAGCCCAATGAAAAAAATGATAGAGAATCAGATCTGGGGGCAAAACGTGTCTTTCTCACACACACAGAACCACCAGATCCCCCTGAGCTGGAAGTGAGGGAGGTGAAGGATAGGAGTATGAATCTGCGCTGGATCCAAAGGTTTGATGGAAACAGCATTATCACCAGCTATGACATAGAGTACAAAAACAAATCAGGTATGCATCCTAAATGTAAATATGCATGTAGATTTTCTTTTTAATTACATGTGTTAAAAATCTGAAATATGTTTAAAACATATTTTTAAAATGTATTTGCCAGATACATGGGATCACATGTACACAACCAGGAACATCTCCCCCACCAACAACCAGGCCAACATCGTAGAGCTGCACCCTGCTTGTGTTTACAGCATCCGCATGTACTCCTACAACAAGATTGGCCGCAGCCTTCACAGTAAAGAGCTTACAATCAGTACTGAAGAAGCACGTAAGGGATTCATTTTAGCTGTCTCTCATGCTTGCTGTACTTTTTATCTATAGGGAGTTAGACTATCAGTATTGATAGTGACACATTTTGGGCATTTTCATCAACAGCACCTGACGGGCCACCAATGGACGTGATCCTCCAACCGATGACATCCCAGAGCATACGGGTTACGTGGAGGGTAAAATCACTGTTGTTATTACTTGAATACAATGTGTATTATTACATAGGGCTTATTTACGACTGCAGATCACTATAAAATATCAAGTGAACACACACCTCTGTCTGCACAAAAGTTCATTTAATAAGTATTACTTTTCTAACCAAAACAAAAACATTTCTTTCAGTCTCCTAAGAAGGAGCTGCAGAATGGGGTTATTCGAGGCTACCAGATCGGTTACAGAGAAAATGGTCCAGGCAGCAATGGCCAGTACAGTATAGTGGAGATGAAAGCTACAGGGGACAGTGAAGTGTACACCTTGGACAACCTAAAGAAGTTTGCACAGTATGGCGTGGTGGTCCAGGCCTTCAACAGAGCTGGGACTGGCCCATCCAGTACTGAGATCAACGCCACCACGCTGGAAGATGGTAAAAAAAAAAAAAAGCAGAAGGGAAGATGAAGAAAAAAGACAGTAGACTGCTCATTGTGGGAGAGAGTGTGAGTGAGAGGACATGAGGGAAAGCAGAAAGAAAGAGAATGGAAAAGGTCCAAAGTGCATACTGTATTGTGTATCTCTCTAATGTGTCAAAAAGAATAGCAAATGCAGAAACAGGATAGAAGACACACAATAAATGAGCACAGTTAACATACATATGTAGGCACACATACTCAAACAAAATGGTAGAAATGAATTTGCAGCACATCCCCCATTATTCAGGCAACTTTAATTAGCACCCTCATTAGGCTGGCAGACAGTGAGAGAGGAACAAGGAACCCTGTTACTCCCTAAATATCTGCCCACTTCACCTTTTCTTCCTCTTCCTCTCCTTTTCTTTATTTTCCTCTTCCTCCATTTTGGTTCCTTTCTCATCATTTTCCCATCTATTGCATGTTTTTATTTCTTAACATGTTATAGGGATCCTCTCTGTGATGACAGACATCCTTATCATGGTACAGTAACAGTAATAGTAATGGTAACTGTCCAGATAGGTAGTATGCAGCTCATCCCACCCACCTCATCTGAATTTTAACCCCTTTAGGGTGTAGCTGTTTTACTATTCATGCTGCTCTCACTACACTTCCTCCCCTTCTCTCCCCAGCGCTCTAAAAGCTAGCAGCGAACAAGGAGCTATTGAGATCTAATTGGAGTTTATTTGACTGATTTATTTCAGCAAAGATTGCCTGTCCTTTGAGGTTTTGAGTAGTCATTAATTATCAGCAGTTCCGTTGCCATGCTAGATCAGTCCGGCCTTCTTAGTTGAAATCATTAAAACAACCACAAAATGTGTATGTTTGAGCCATGCAGCACTAACAATCACCCCCTGCTCTCTCCAGTGCCCAGTGAGCCTCCACAGAATGTGCGTGCCATCTCAGTGACGTCAGATGAAGCGGTGATTACGTGGGCTGAGCCTCCACGGCTGACACTGCACGGTGTGCTGAAAGGCTACCGGGTTGTGTTTTGGTCCCTCTTCGCTGACGGAGGTGGGTGCTGTGGGGGCCAGGCCCAGTGGCCAATGCAGAGTAATTATCACCTACTGCATCTCACTCTGAACCTCACCAACCTCCCACCCACTTCCTTCTTCGTCAGTGTTGTGAGTCAGAACGTGTTAGTGTGCCTGCACCTTTCTCGTAAAGCACTTCCCATTCCTGTGCATCTTTAACTTGTTATTGTTTGCCCTTGTTTCCTTGTCTTAAATTTTTTAGAAAATACAGTAGTTGAGCATATTTGTGTTTCTACTGTATGTCTGTTCAAATCAGTCTTCTAACAATTGTTTATATTCAGTTAATTTGCATTAGCAGTTAGCAGCATTGGCAGATAATGGCAGATAATGGGAATAAAAGCACAATAACATTTTCTCAGTTATGTTTAATGAAGTACTAATTAAGCACTTTGCTAAGCTAAAGGAATGATTGTGGAGTGAAACAGGATGCAGCGTCTTCTCCAAAATTTAACCAAAACCACAATCTATAATTAAAGGTATAGCTGGCGTTCCTGGAAAAAAACTGCAAGAAGAAGTTTGATTTTGAAAGTAGTCGACCAAAGAAAACTCACCCTTTCATTCTCACTTCTCTCCAAAGCCACTAATCCCAAACAAAACAAAACTGGCAACTGTCTGTCCAGCAGAAATACGGCCACCATGGCATCACTTTTCATCCCTTTTATTCTCTCAATTCTCACCATCATTCAAAAGTCACACCAATGTTAGTTCTTGTTTCACTTCTTGCTGAATCCAGCTTGTTTTTTTCTTGAATTTTCCAAAAGCTGCTGTGGCTACCTTCTGTGCCATAGCTTGCTAGCTTTTGCTATAACAGATCGTTAACATGTCTGACTACCTGGCCTTGCGGGAGACTCTTGGCTCATGCAATGAGTGCAAGGGCAGAGTGTGCGCAAGTAGGAAGTTAGGTTGACAGGCAGGTAGGCTGTCCAGTGGTTGTGCTCAGGTCAGTTAAAATTACTGGTCAGGCTTTTTACAGCCCTGCTACTGCCACATATGACAGACTTTTTTTCCTTTATGTTGTCAGTGCATGTATTCATTGCCATCGGGATGAAAAGAAAATTTCAAGAAATGTAGCAAAAAATGCTTCTGAAATGAATCAACAACATTACCTTTAATCAAGTCTTTGCTTCAAAACTTTGTACTTTGTCTAACCAACCCTCCACCTTGACATCCTCCCTACAACAGCCTTGTAATCCAGGCAGTCATCATGTTTCCTCCAAAATATTTTAGCAAAGCAAGAGTTGGTCTGTGTTGCCTCTCCACCTGTACTTTCTAAGACAAGTTTCTTTCTTCTTGTTCTCCTACAGAATGGGGAGAGATGCAAAATATCACCACCACCCGTGAACAGGTAGAGCTGCGAGGGTTGGAGAAGTTCACTAACTACAGTGTTCAGGTGCTGGCCTACACACAAGCTGGAGACGGAGTCCGCAGCAATGTCCTGTATATCCAAACCCACGAGGACCGTGAGTTTGCACACAAACAGAACTCCAAACAAAAATATATCACCATTTATTTTATTTGTTTCTATATTTGATTGCTGAAAAGTGTGGGGGTGAGGGTAAAGCTGCATGGGAAATGGTAGGGGACTGATAAAAAAGGGGTGCTCGGGTGTCTCTCAAACCCAGGACAAAAGCTCATTTATGCTATGAAGCTCCATTAGCAGTGCTAATGGGAATTAAGAGGCTTTGGATCCACAGCTCAGGGCTGAGGGAGGGCTGGTCGGAGATACTAGGGGAGAGGTGGGGTGTTCTCTCGGAGCATATACCATCCAGGACTCAGCCATCAGCCTGGCTTTGTATCCTTTCCACAAGCCCTCTTGCCATAGGCATAGGGATTAACTCTTCTTGGATTAGAGAGAATTAATTTTGTGCTTACACCATTGGAGGCGTGATTACAGCCGGATCTATGTCTCTTTATAGAAGAAGAGGGGGTGGGGCCTTGGGGTTGAAGATGGAAAGATGGTGATAACACAGTATAATCTTAGCTGATAAAATAAATAAGACATAAAAGGCATAACAGAAATGTCAGTTTTATTTCTAAGACAAATTAAAGTAGATTGCTAGACTTGCACTCTTTGTGTATTTGGTTGAGTGAATTAGCCTTTTACATATATTCCTTTCATTGGCACAGTAGCACATGGGGCTGTTCACTCAGCACCATTGCGCCTCTCTTCCTCATCGTCACACAGGCCATGCTGACTGTGCAGCAGACTGTCTGTCTGTCTGTCTGGATTCCTGGGCAGAATTTGGGCACCAGATGGGACCTAGCTCTCCCTCCTCCCACTGCTACTTTGACAAATAGGTCCAGTTATGATAATGATGACTGCCTCCTCTGCTTCTCCCCACCACCACCATCATCTCTCCCCCAGGAGCTGCACCTATCATTCTCACCATTCTTTCATCCCTGCCTCCCTCTTTTAAAACCTCTATTGCTGCATGTATCCTTTCTGAATTTGTGTTGTTCCTATCCTGTGTTCCTGTGTGTTGTTCCTTGTGCAATGTGCAGGAGTCCGAGGATACGGGCTGGATGAATGATCGCAGGGCCTCACATACAAGAAAAAGAGGAACTGATGAATGGAATCAGAGAGTTGGGTCTTACACTGTGGTAGTCTTGTTCTGTAGACCCCAGATGAGGCCCCCTGTCAGGTGCAGGTTATTTATGGTGGGAATTGAATAGGCTTGACCCCCTACTGTAAGGCCAATGTGACAAAAGCATTATTGTTCACCTTTCACAGTTTCCAGTGTCTTGATGTGTTTTTTTTAAGTGTGCATCTATTTTAAATTCTTTTTGCGCCTTTGACTTGTAAGAGTAATAAGAGTATTAAGAGGTTTCCTGTGTCAAGCTGAAATGGCTAGCAGAGGATCAGACACTATTGTCTAATCTGTTTGTAGGCTGGAGAGTTAAGAGTATGTTGGGTGTCACAGAGTCAGAACTGCTGACCAATGCCTGAATGAGCATATGTTACGGCCATCCATCCAAGGGGAGTTCTTCCAAGTCCTCCCAGACCGGCTTAGTGTAGGATAAGACTACCACTCTGCAAACAAGCCTGCTCACTTTAATAGGCATCCAACACCCAACAGCTACAGATATACAAACTCAAAAACATACAGAAGCAAGTGCATAAAGGCATGTTTGCCATGCTGATGTTCCTATGTTTCTCTCTAGTTCCTGGTCCACCAGCTGGCATCAAAGCAGTTCCCGCTTCACCGAGTAGTGTGTTTGTGTCCTGGTTGCCTCCTCACAAACCAAATGGTGTTATCCGGAAGTATACCATCTACTGCTCCAGTCCAGGGTCTGGACAGCCAGTAAGTCTCTGATCTGTGGGTGTGGCCAGTAGAAAGCGTTCCAGGGGATTGAGAAGCAAGAAATTTGTGAACTTGATAAAAATCTATGGATATAATTAATTTGTAACCACTCTTATTAATTGAACCTGTACATATGTGTGTGTGTGTGTGTGTGTGTGTCTTTCACTGTGTTTGCACCATTGCTTTATTTCCTGCCCTCCCAGATGAACAGATGAGGTTGTCTTGGCAACGTGATGAGACGTAGATATGCAAATGAGGCAGGGAGCAAGCTCACACATGCACACTGCCGCATCAGAAACACACCTTCACAGACACTTCACATTTTGATATTTTCTATTTATACACATATGTGTGGAATTTCATGTGGGATTAGATCATGTGCACCACAAACACCAGCACATGGTGAAATCTGATGTGAGACTAGAATCTCACTTTCTTTATTATTCACAAATACTCCTCCATCTCTGTGCATGAGTGCCATGTAAATGAGCACAGGCAGGGAGGAGCAAGGGAGGGAGGGAGGGGGGTAGAGGAGGCTGAGAGAGAGAAAAAGACACCATTAGAGATAGGGAGAGACCGAGGGGAAATGAGAGAAAAAGAGAGGGATGAGGGGAGAGGATGAGGGGGAGAGAGTCAGGGAAGAAGGGAGGAGCGGAGGAGGGTATCCGTCACATCGAGATGAGAGTGCTTTTGTCCGTCTTTTCATTATCTCCCTGTATCACTCCCTGGATCATCACAACACCGTCGCTATGCTGGAGGAATGTTCGAATGCACCCCCTACACACACACACACACACACACACACACACACACACACAAACTCATACCCCCCCCTTCCCCTCCTCCTCTCCT